CCTGAGTGCTCACTGGAAGGACAGATCCTGAAGCTGAGGCTCCAATACTTTGGCCACCTCATGAGAAGACTCCTTGGAAAAGACCCTGATGTTGGGAAAGTGTGAAGGCAAGAGGAGAAGGGGACGACAGAGGACGAGATGGTTGGACAGTGTCATCAAAGCGACCAACATGAATTTGACCCAACTCTGGGAGGCAGTGGAAGACAGGAGGGCCTGGCATGCTCTGGTCCATGGGGTCACGAAGAGTCAGACACGACTAAACAACTAAACAACAACGACGATTGGTAATACATCAGATATATTCAGAGAATTCTATATTGGTCTCTGGCAGTGACCAGTAACAGAGTTTCTTAGGTGGGGGTGGATTTAGTGGCTGGATTATAGGAGTTCCATAAAGTTTTACGGGCGAAGAAGGAGAGAGAAAGATCGGCCTCTGGCAGCAATCATTCAGTACAGAACTGGATTGCAACTGTATGTCACTGTCATCATACGTTGGGTATCCAGCACCCCATAATGCTTAATAAAACTTCTGTCAGATAATTTTTGATTGGAAGGGCCACAGTTTAGGCAAAAAGGAGGCTTAAGGAAGGGATCATTGTAGTGATAGTGATAGTGATAGGAGGATCTCCAGAGAAAGTCAAGGATGAGTGAGTGGCCAAGATTGGATGGTTAAAGACAGAAGGGGAGTCTGATCCAAAGCAGCAGTGAACGAATCAGGGAAATAACTGAGCAATGGACAATGAAGAATTCAGCCAACCAATGTAGATGAAAAGAAGAAAATGTGCACGCCAATGGGGGGGGACACCAGAGGGATCCCCCTATTGTGACGGGTTTTTTTGCGCCTTTCTCGGATACCCTCGCGACATCTTGAGGCTGTTCACGTGAACGGCTGAGTGACGTGAGAAAGACAGATGGCATTTAAGGGGAGGCAACCCTATTATCTGTCTCCGACCACTGGAGTGACATGGGTTTATGTGCCAGAATATGTGTCGCAGATAAAGGGCTGCTTGGCATAATGTGGAGCCAGCGTTGCAGGGCGGAGGCCCTTGGACAGTTGCCACTGATTGTATTGGTGGTTTACATACGTGGCAATGATTTGGAAAGGCATCCTGACCGGCGCTGATTGCGAAAGTCATACGCAATCTTAAAGGGTTGAAGGACATGAACATGGCTATGTGTATCCTTGGTCCACAAACATGCCTTAGCGGCATGGAGAGATGGTAAATTTTCCTCAATATGAACACGGCACACAGGGGTGTTAACTGCGAGGCCTGCAGGGTGATCTGCAGCAGCCTTGGATCAGGTGATTGTTGCCAGAAGATCCAATTGAATAGGCCTGTGTTATTCCTTTGGATGACACCCACCAGGAGTGTTGGTGATACAACTGGGCAGCAACATGCTGTGGAGCCAGCTTTGTCGGGCGGCTGCCTTTTGGGGAGTAATCCAGGCCCGGATGGAAGGGGCTCATGTGGAATGGAGAGGGCACCGCGGCATGCTGTGGAGCCAGCTTTGTCTGGTGGCTGCCTTTGGACGACACCCACCAGGCGTGTTGGTGATACACCTGGGTGGCAACGATTTGGCTCGGTACCTGGGGAGATCCCTGGTAGTCGATGTGATACGCAACCTTACCTGGCTGAAAGGAGATGCGGATTATATGGTTGACAATCATCCCTCGCCGGTTTTGGAAAAGGGGAGACAGTTTTGGCCAGTAAACACTGCCCGGAGGAGTGTTAACTGGGAAGTCTGTAGAGCAATCCATGGCGGGCTGGGATCAGTGGTCGGGCACCACAGAATTTGGCTCGATGGGCTAGAGATTTTAGGCCGGACGGCGTGCACCTGTCCGAGGTAGGTTTGGACGTCTTTTTGGAGGACATCAAGGGGGGGGCGCTCTTGGAGCTGGAGTGGCTTGATGGGGAGCATTGGAAACAGTGTGCCTATTCCCATTGCTGTGGCGGGTAGTGCAGATTCAAAGGTAACGGAACTTGGCTTATATGGTAACAGCACTAAATTGTAGCATATCTGAACGGACAGCACTGCCGATCAGGCAATCACAGTGCTTGGAAAGAAAGAGGTGCTGGGAACGCTCCCGGACCCATGGACAGCACAGAGAGAGGGAAAGGGGGCCTGGGAAAAATTGGAGGCGGATAGTTATCCCATGGTAATAAAGAGGGGAATAACTGAGGCCTGAGCTCAGCCTATTGGCTGGTCAAGGGTCACGTGAGAACCCAAGAGGGAAATCTGAATCTGCACTACAGCCGGACTCCCCTTTGCCAAATGATTGGCAATGTTCATGATAACGAAATGGATTTTAATAATGTGTGGCCCATGTTTAACCCCATTCGCCTGATCTCACGTGGTTATTCCGGGATAAGGGGGCAATGACCATTGGGTGAGGAAGGCCAGGGCTTGGCTGGTGGCGAGGAGTGCATTTGCACTGGCCAAGCTGCTGCAGCCGTTGTGCCTCTTCCTGGAAGTGGCTGGACGGACGTGAGTGACAGCTGCCTCAGCCCCACCCTGCCTGGATTGGTGCAATGCTCTCTGTGTTTGGAAATTTCGGCTGGTCCAAAACACTGCCACCAGATTGCAGACTGGGACCAGTCAGAGGGAACACCCTTCTTCCAACTGCTACATTAGCTACCATTCTGTTGCCCGACAGAATTCAAATAGCTGGTTATATGACCTCTAAAGCCCTACAAGGCGAAAGCCCTGGGCTGAGAACCCATGAATTAAAAAACAACCTTGACTAATTAAGTCATAGCCTGATGGACAGACCATTTTAAAAATACACAGAATAAAAGGATTGAATAGTTTTTAATGTACATTATGTAGAACATTTAAAATGTTTAAAGATAACACAATAGATATAATATATAAATACAAAATATTGGCTAAATAATTTGTTTGATCATACAATAGTATAAAACACTTAAAATACTTTAACTCAAATTAAAGAAACTAATACGTCTTTGGAAGGAGGTTGAAGACCATGTATTTCTTCCAAAAATAATAGGCAAAACCAGCAAGGCAGGCTCTGGAAAGGAGGCAGGAGGTGAGGGAGAGAGAAGAGAAGGGCCGGGAGGGAGGAAAGACAGAACGGAAGGCCTTCTTCAGTTGGCCAGGTGGGTTTGGTGGCAGAGGGAGAGGCCGGAGGGCAAGGATCTTGGGCTGAAGGTGATGGGAGGGAAGGCAACTGAGGGGAAATCTTTGGGTCAGGGTGCCTGTAGGGAAAAGAGAAAAGAGAAAGCTTCATCAATATGAGAATAAACTCCCCTTTCTCCTATCAGGGGACATCCATGTTAAAGAATCTTTTTGAGATAAGCCCAGCAGAGGAAGTCATCTTACTTCTGGTCAGCGTACATTTCCTAATGATCATCTCGTCATATCCACAAGCATTCCTTATGTTAAAGCAAGAGGTCAGCATTATGTTCATTGGACTATTTTGTAAACTAGGGCAGACCTTTAAAACTAGCTTTTGATCCTTTTAAGATCAAGGACTTTGCCCACTATCTAATAAAATGAGTGACCAGTGACTATTGTTATGCTTCTACGTAAGAAAATGTATCTAATTTCGAATAGGACAGATCATGAACCCTGAAAGACAGAAAAACAGCCCACTAGAGCTTATGATATCATTGTAAAGTTCCCTCACCTGGGAGATGTGGGAGATGGTGCTCCTCTTGAAATAGGGGGAGAAGCTGGAACAAGGGGAAGGGCAGAAGGGAAAGAGGAGGGGGTGGGTTGGACAAAGGGACAAGAGAGGTTTGTGGGTAGGATACGGGGGAAGAGCAGGATTTGGGTTGGAGAGAGGAAGAACACAGGGTTTACAGGGTTTATGTGGTTTATGTGGTTTATGGGTGAGAAGGCAATATCGACAAGTCCTATTCAGATCCTGTACAGGATATATTGATAAGTCCTATTCAGATCCTGTACAGTTGAACCCGAAAACCCAGTCTTTTGGGGATGAGAATTCTGTCAACTGCAACTCCATCCTTTCCTTCGCAATACTCTAAGGCAGTGGTCCCCAACTTTGGGCCTCCAGATGTTCTTGGACTTCAACTCCCAGAAATCCTGGCCAGCAGAGGTGGTGGTGAAGGCTTCTGGGAGTTGTATTCCAAGAACATCTGGAGGCCCAAAGTTGGGGACCACTGCTCTAAGGGGAGGAAAAAATTGACCCATATCCATGAGTTGCAAAGTACAGTTCTCCTTGGGCACACAAACACACACAAAAACATTCTATAGGATTCCACAATTCCATGCAA